AAAATTAATAACTTGCAAAAAGTACAACTTCTTTATTTTTTTGGGTCCGGTCGGGGGGCCTGAACTCTAGGCCTGGGCACTGTCCCTCAGCTCTTCAGCTCAAGGTTAGTGCTCTACCACTTGAGCTACAGTGCCACTTTCGGGATTTTTCTTTTTGCTTTATGTGGTGCTGAGGAATTGAACCCAGGGCCTCAGGCATAGCAAGGCAAGTGCTCTACCACTGAGCCAGCTTCCCAGCCCAAGTACAACTTCTTGTAGAGAAAGACTGAGAAGATAGAGATGGAGCTATTAGTTTGGTAGTTTTAATTTTCAATCAAGCATCTTAGTTTTTTTCATCACCTTTATGAGCAGATTGACATATTAAAAACTTATACATTCTTAATGCTTACTGCACGTTTGGTGCTGAAACCATCACTGCAATCTTTGCCATAAGTCTATAATCTCCAAAAGCTTCCATTTTCCCTCCTGGGGTGTGTGTGTGTGTGTGTGTGTGTGTGTGTGTGTGTGTGTGTGTTAAGGGTGATAATGGTGAAGGTGGTGATAATGATGATGACACTATCATAAAATCTAGCTGTCTGGCTATCAAAATTGTAAATGCCCAAGTAGTACTGAATTGAGCATTTCTGGATGTTATTTTCCTTTGAATGTGAGGGTTATCTTCATGTATTCAGTGACTAGCTTTTCTGGCAGTAATTTATGGATTGTTTATTCTATTGCTGTAGGTTTAGGCAGTTCTGAGATGCTCAGACTTGTCTAGAAGGCCTGGATCTCTATAGCACTAGTGAGTGATGCTGAGCTCATTCTTCCTTCAAATGGAGAGTCATGGTTTACATTACTTTCAGCAAACTGAATATGGTAGTTGTTATTATATAGATTAAAATAACAGTATTTCATGCTCACCTGCCACTTCATTACCATGACATGCAGGTAATGTCTCAAATCCCCAGACTAAGTTTCTAATGAAAAAAAAAGTTGAAGATTGTCAATGTCTGAGTATGTTATAACTTAGAAAACTTTCATCCAACTTATTTCTCTCTTCAATATATTTATTAGGAAGTTATTTTTTATTTTTTATTAATAAGTTTTTTATTGTGAAAATAGCATACAGAGGGATTATAATTACATGAGCAAGGTAATGAGTACATTTCTTTTTTTTGCTGGGGGGTCTGGTCATGGGGCCTGAACTCTGGGCCTGGGCACTGTCCCTCAGCTCTTCAGCTCAAGGCTAGCGCTCTACCACTTGAGCCATAGCGCCACTTCTGGCTTTTTTTCTTTTTGTTTATGTGGTGCTGAGGAAGCGAACCCAGGGCCTCATGCATGCAAGGCAAGCGCTCTACCACTGCACCACCTTCCCAGCCCCAGAGTACATTTCTTATCAAGCATTGTTGCCTCCTCCTTTGTTTCCCCTTACCATGCCTGCCCTCCCATCTCTCCCCCTAAATCCCAACCCCTGCCAAAGTTTAAAATTTAACTTAGAATTAAAAAATGCTAACTACTAAGTTTATTATTTTTCATTATTATTATTATTATAGCTATAAATATGGGCATGTTTTAGGTATGAAGGATAGAAGGAAGAGAAGTATGTATCTTGTCTGTTTTCTTTTTTAAAAAATATATTTTCTTATCTTTGAATAGTTGTAGAAAAGAGTTGCCCTTTAACACAGCAGTTAATGAATACAATACATCTTCATCATTGACACCCCTTTCAACATTCTCCTCATCTCTCACAACCCTACCTCCTTCCCTTAATTTTCTTTTTTCCCCTTCTTTTTATTGTAAAGGTGATATACAGAGGAGTTATAGTTATATATGTCAGGAATGAGTACATTTCTTTTTGAACAATGTGACCTCTTCCCTTGTTTTTCCCCACTTTTTCCCTTCTGACCCCCCCTCTTCCTCTAGTTGTTTGGTTCATTTTCAACTTAGTGTCCAGTGACTGTCACTACTGCATTAGTCCACCATTTTTTCCAGCCAGCCATGTTTGTGCTTCCTCCTTACCCATCCCCCAAACAGATAAAATTACATACCAGACAAAAATTACAAAAAAAAGTGACAAAGGGGGAAAAATCCCACAAAAAGCAAACTAACATAAAACCTCTTGTTTCCATTTCTTGGAGCTCATTTTGATAAACATCATTTTACATGATTGTATGCACAAAGCTATTGAGTCTTTGTGATCTGCTCCTGAGAATATCTTCCTTTGATCTCACTGTGTGAATGTTTTGCATCCTGTTTATCACGTGCCAGTATAATTTTTAATCTTTTACCATCCATTGTGCTTACTAGTAGATTTATAGGCACATTCTAATTAGTACAAATGAGGGAAATCATGCAACCTATGTTTCTTTGGATCTGACTTACTTGACTTAATATGATTGTTTTCAAGTCTTTCTATTTCTTTACAAATGGGGCAATGTCATTCTTTCTGATGCAAGCATAGAATTCCATTGTGTATCTATACCATATTCAATTCATTCATCTACTGAGGGGTTCTGGGTTGATTTCATATCTTAGCCATGGTAAATAATGTTGCTTGAACATATTTGTGCTGATAGCATGGGTGTGGCCTTGTTTGTGGTCATTTGGGTAATGCTCAGGAGTGGGATTGTTGGGTCATAAGGAAACTCTATGTTTAGTCTTTTGAGGAACGTCCGTATTGCTTGAGTGGTTGAACAAGTTTACATTCCCACCAAAAGTGTAGTAGTGTCCCTTTTGGCCACATCTCCACCAGTATGTGTCACTTGTTTTCTTGATAATGGCCATTCTAACTGGAGTGGAATCTCAATGTTGTTTTGATTTGCATTACTTTTATGGCCAGAGATGTTGAATATTTCTTAATGTGTCTATTGGACATTCTTATTTTTCTTCTGAGAAGTCTCTCTTCAAATCTTTAACCCGTTTATTAATTGGGTTGTTGTTTCTTTTAGGATTTATTTTGGGAAGGTTTAATATTTTGAGTTCTAAGTATATTTTAAGTATGAGGCCCTTCCTTATCTAATGCATAACTGGTGAAGATCTTTTCCCATTATGCAGGCTTTCTAGTTATCTTGCTAGCTTTGTCTTTTGTCATGTAGAAACTCTCCAGTTTGATGAAATTCCACGTATCTGGTCTTTCATTGATTTGTTATGATTCTGGATCTTAATTTTTTTAGGATGTGCTTTGAATTTTATGAGCACATTCTGCCCTAGTTCTCCTTTCTTTTTCTTTTCTTCTCTTTTTTCTTTTCTTTTCTTTCCTTTCTTTTCCTTTCTTTCCCACTTTTCCTTGCTATCCCCTTCCCTTCCCCATCACCACTTTCGAGTACCCCTTTGTCTGTTTTCTTAAAGACTCTTAGTGTCAGGAGCAGACACTCCACATTTACCTATATTTTGTGTGATTATAGTTTGTTCTTATAATAATTCTGGTAACTAAAGTTTATTCAGGCATGCTATGTTGCAAGCATTCTTCTGAGCTCCTTGCATTTATTATTTATATGATTTTCCATCCCCAATCTAGGCAGGTGTATAGTATATGATTTTATTGATGAAACACTGAGCTGAGTAGTGTTATGGATCTTATCTGGGATGGCAAGATTTTATTTGAAAGTTGTAGTAATGTAAAGTCATAAGATGAACCCCAAAGAATAAACACTGTCATTAGGATCTAGGAAAGTGATCATAGAAGTTTGGTTTAGGGTAGTAGTGGTAGAAACTTTTTTTTGGAATATTTTTATTATCATTGAGTAGTTGTACAAAAAAAAAGGAGCTGCCATCAACAAAGCAGGCTATGAATATAATGTGTCTTGATCAAAGTCACGCCTTTCAACATTCTCACTTACCCCTCCCAACACACCCCTCCCCTCACTTTCCAATAAAGTACAAACAAGGCCATAGTAAAGACAACAGCACAACTATGTTCATTGCAGCACTATTTACCATCATCAAGATATGCAATCAATTCATATGTCCCTCAGTGGACAAATGGATCCAGAAAAAACAGTATATATACACAATAGAATTCTACTCATCCATCAGAAAGAATAATATTTCATCATTCATAAGGAAATGCAAAGACTTGAAAAAATTATATTAAGTGAAGAAAGCCAAACTCAGAGAGAAACACAGGTTGCATGGATTCCCTCATTTATGGTAGTTAGAATGTGCCTATAAATCTATAAGTGAACACTCTGGGTGGTATTCAAGCAGTTACAAGTGAATCAAATAGTATAATTCTTTAGAAACACTAAGTCAAATCCTCAAAAAATTAAGTACCAGGAAATAGATACTTGCAAAAGGCGGAGTGAAGCCAAGGGGAGAGGAATAGCTGAATGAACCGGGGACAGAATTGAGAAAAATAAGGGAAGAGGTGGGTCAAAGTGGGGGTGAAAATGTTAAAGGGATAACAGATCAAGACATATTGTTCAATAGGAAAAAAATCTTAAAGAACTTATTTTGCACTCAACTTTAATGGATTTAGTGACAAGAAATAAAAGGGTGAAATAAAAGGGCTGAAGACAAATAACAGATGTCTTAACCTGACAAATTGAGGAACCAGTAATTCTATTTAACAAACATGGGAGAAGAGGAATTCCTTCTTTCACTCTGACATTAGCTAAATGGCTCATTTTTATAAGTCAATTCATGACCAAGAAAAGAATATATTCACTATATCAAGTTAACTGGCTTTATTTTAAAATTCACAGGTCATATCATTTTAGAACTATATCTATTTTAAGTTTTCAAATCTGTATGTAACATAATTAAGACCCTGTATTAAAAGTAAAATTTAATATTAACCTCATTGCTATAAAAGAATCTAAAACAGATATATTACTTGGCAGAAACTTTCAACTTTGATCCATTAATGGCTTTCAATGATCAATCTAATTTTCTTTAGTCCTTTGATTTCTTAAAGTTATTTAGATGGTACACTTTGACAGGTTGTTTCTTCTCCTGTCTTCCTTTTTCACCTCCTCCCCTTCCTCTATCTTTTCCATTTAGGATATAGATTTTGAAGAACTATGGATCAAAGCAATCACAGTGCTTTATATAATTTTATTCTGCTTGGCTTCTCTGATCATCCCGAACTGGAGAAAATCCTGTCAGGAGTTGTCACCATCTTCTACTTTATTATATTGGTGGGGAACACAGCTATCATTCTGGCTTCTCTCCTGGATTCTCATCTCCACACACCAATGTATTTTTTTCTCAGTAACTTATCTTTCCTAGACCTGTGTTTAACCACCAGCATTATTCCTCAGATGCTGGTTAACCTGTGGGGCCCTGAGAAGACCATCAGTTATGTGGGCTGTATCATCCAGCTCTATGCTTATATGTGGTTGGGTTCCATTGAGTGTCTTCTTTTGGCTGTCATGTCCTATGATCGTTTTACAGCCATTTGTAAGCCCTTGCATTATTTTATAATCATGAACCCACAACTATGTCTCAAGATGATTATCATGGTCTGGAGTATTAGTTTGGCCAATTCTGTAGTATTATGCAGTCTCACTGTGAATTTGCCTAGATGTGGAAACAACATTCTGGATCATTTCCTGTGTGAGCTGCCAGCCATGGTGAAGATTGCGTGTGTAGACACCACCACGGTGGAAATGTCTGTTTTTGCCTTGGGCATTGTCATTGTCCTCACTCCCCTTGCCCTTATTCTTATATCCTATGGCTACATTGCCAAAGCTGTGCTGAGAATGAAGTCAAAGACAGGACGGCGCAAAGCAGTGAACACCTGTGGATCTCATCTCACGGTGGTGTCCATATTTTATGGGACTGTTATCTACATGTACCTGCAACCAGGTAACAGTGCCTCCAAGGACCAGGGCAAGTTCCTCACCCTCTTTTATACCATTATCACACCAAGTCTCAACCCTCTCATCTACACCTTGAGGAATAAGGACATGAAAGACGCACTGAAGAAACTGGTGAGGGTTCACCTGGAATCTGCAAAGCTGAAGAGGACCTGGAAATCATAGAAAATATTGAAAAAATAAGGCAATGCGTATGCTTTCTAATGGTCTTTTTTTGTGCCTATCTTGGGCTTGGACATTGTCCCTAAGCTTTTTTGCTCAAGGCTAGTGCTCTACTATTTTAGCAACAGCTTCACTTTTGGCTTTTTTTTTTGGTAGTTAATTGGAGATAAGAGTCTCATGACTTTCCTTCCCAGACTAGCTTTGAAACCTGATGCTCAGAATTTAGCCACCTGAGTAGCTTGGATTAGAGGGATCAGCCATTAGTGTCTGACTTTTTATTTTAATCAGTCAAAAAGCCCTACGATCACATAGGTAAATTTATGTAATATTTTTTAATATACAAACACATTGTGTCTGCAAACAATATTAGAAGCATTATCCTTAGAACTTCTATATCTCCAATTATTTGTATGGCCTCAAAATATACAGGTCTTTAGGAATTTTTATGTTTTCTTACAATTTGACATAAATGAATGTTAAACATAAACTTGAATTTACTCTAGTAAGCTTAATTTATTTTAAAGCCCAGGAGAATCTGCATTGGTTGTTCTGGTTTGTTACTTCAATGCTAATGCTCATATGTTACAAAGGATAAATCTGAGTGGTTTCATACACATTATTCTTTCCCACATGAAATAACAATATGAAAATAATGGTTTTATGTTAAATGTTTTGTGATGTTTTCCAAACATTATATGAGTTTGATTTGATCCAGGCAATGCCTGCTCTAAGATAGTAATTGTTCCAAGCCCCATCTAACATAGTGCACTCTGTTGAAACTTGATTTCAATATCTCTTATAGAGCAGGCACAATGGCTCATGCCTGTAATTCCAGCCACCTGAGAGGTCAGATTGGTTTTAGGTTAGCCTGGGCAAAAAGTTAGGAAGTCTCCATCTCAACAAAACCAGGTATGGTGTTCATACCTGTAATTGATGCTGCACAGGAGACATAGGAGGAAATTGTGTCAGAGGTGGATTTTAAGCAAAAGAGCATGAGACCTTTTCAGATATAGATCTGAAAAGTAACAAAAAAGCAGGAAGAGCCAGAAGCATGGTTAGGGTGGTAGTATGCTTGCTTAGCAAACAGAAGAGCCTCATTTTAACCTCAGTATTGAAATACAGCAACTTTAATAAAACATCTTTAAGCCTATGATTACTTATTTTATAATTATATAAGGGATTGAGAAGACAGAATTTAGACCTCTAAGGGTAACAACACAGTCTTCCCTATTCTCATTCATTTATTCATTCATTAGACTCACTCATGATGTGTTAACTTTTTGAAAAGACAATATAACTAATTTGAGAACAGTTAGGCTTTTGACATAGACTTATGGATTTATTTGACTGCTGTGTAATTTGAGAAATGTAGAAATTTTTGTATGCTGTGGAATTTTATAAAATAAAGGAATCTCTTGCTTTCCATTTGCCTGGATTTGATATTTTGCTTTAATGAATAAATGTAATTTTTAAATTAAACTTTGGTATTTTCTGACATCTGACATCTTTCACTGAAAGATCACATTTTTGATAATTTTACTCACCAAGACAAATTTTAGGATAACTTGCTCAAATCTAAATGTAATTTATTTTCTTCTCTATCACTTCATAGTTGGTGAAATGTAAAGGAACAAGTAGGAGACAATTACTTATTGCTCAAGCAGAAAAAGACTACAGTAATGATTAATTACTGAATGTTATTCTTGAATATATGCTGAATATACTAGGATGTTGCTGATATCTTTACCTTCTTTTAGAGTTGTCTTCAAAAACAGTACATCAACTGATAAAGATAGTCTACAGAGACAATTTTAATTTTGGGATCCTGAAACATGAATAGTATTTTTCCACATCCACTACCATTATATTTGGAAGGTACACTCTTACAATTGTAAGATTTATCACAGATAATATTTGCAGTACATTTACTAACTTTAGTAACTAATATCAAGTGACTGAACGTTCATTCACTTCAATAATCCAAGAATGACAAAAATATAATAGTTCATGAAATTATAGATGAATAAAGGAATTCTAAAATACATAACAGGACACAGAAAGCCATAAATCTATATACTTACCAAATGCATTGATTCTCTCATTAAAAGGATGCTTTTTTCTTTGAGTTTCAGATGTAAAATTCTTAGATTTAGGACTAGGGACACTAGAATTTGCTCATCTTAGCAACATATTCTAATACTCAAGAGTATGTTAGAACTGATACATGGGTTAAACGTAGTCAGGTAAGAACTTAACAGGGCTAAGACAGTCCAGAACAATTTTGACTTTCCTTTAACAACATTCTATTTTTCTAAAATCACAGTATTCTAGTTAGCACAATCAAAGAGTCTTCATGATTTTTTTTTTGGTCAGTCAGGGGACTTGAATTCAGGGTCTGGGCTCTATTTCTGAACTTTTTTCCTCAAGGCTATTGCTCTACCACTTTGATCCAGAGCTCTACTTCCAGTTTTCTGGTGGTTAATTGGAGAGAAGAGTCTCACTGACTTTCCTGTCCTGGCTGGCTTTGGGCCACCAGCACCTGGCAGTATCTCTAGCCTTATACATGTAACTTCTTAAGAGAACTTCAATTCTTCAGAAGCAACAGCAGCAGATATGAAGACTCATGAGTTTTTAAAAAAATATTGAGTATTTCATTTAGATTTCACAGTGTACTCAGGCTGATCACACAATAAATTTCATCAGTAATAGGAACCAGAATAGAACCCATATCTACCTCTCCAAATACAATGTATTAGCTGAGAATCATCATTGCATAACATGATCATAAAGAATATGAGAAATATATGGTTGGTAAGCAAACCATGATACTTGAGATTAGCACACAAGAATGAGTCATTAAAGAATCCCACAAAACCTACTTTAATTGAATAATCTCATTTGATGTAACCACCAGTCCCTTGGAACTGACAATGTTCCTTAACAGTTTGCCTAATGTCATTTTAAAATGCATTTGAAAAGCTGCTCTTGTAAAAGTGAGGTACAGAGGGGTTACAGTTATGTAAGTCAGTACCTATCTTTGTGAACAATGACACCCCTTCCCTCCCAGTTTTTCCTTCCTGTCCCCATTCACAAGTTATATGTTCATTTCAACAAAGTGTCTAGTTTGCTGCATTTGTCCACCCTTTGTTCCACCGTTTCTGTCCCCCCCCCCCCCCCCGCGACCCTCCCAAAGAAAGAGAAATGAACAACCGATACAAAAGAAAATGAAAACAAAAACATCAGAAAAGAAAAAGAACCTCGTGTTTCCATTTCCTGGAGTTCATCTTGATAAATATTATTTTATATGATCAGGTACTGGGCCTTGTGTATCCTCCTTTGGGTGACCCACGGCCGAAAAGCCGTTAAAACCGAGCTTCGAACGCCCGAGTAGCCCAGAACGTTCAGCTCGTGGCGGTGTTCGGGTTTTCCCACAAGGCTAGGAAAAATCACCAAGGTCATGACTGTGGTTGAGCAAGATCTAGATCCAGATGTACTACAGGCTCAGAATTTGTTATGAATTCTGAAGAAGGACTTATTAAAGAATGTGAAGAACTCTGGAAAGATACGGAAAACTGTCAGCATAAATGGTCGCTTATTGGAACTGAGACACTAATTCAAATGCTCAGCCATCGTTACTGATGATGCAAGTGAAATGCTTGACTGCTGAATTCAAGCAATGGCAGAATGAAACACCTGAAGTAATTGCTCTGACTGATGATCTTCTAACTACATTAGGGAAGGAAGGGTTACAAAAACTGAAACATTCTCCCCACGGTATAACCCCTGCTTTCACTGTATTTGATGTTGGTATAATTTGTGGAGGGGAAGGGAAAAACAAAATGTTTAAATAGGGATACAGGTGGACCCTTTGCAACAATGAGACTTACAAGTCGAAAATGAACTTTACAACTTTGGTGGGAGGGGGGAGAGGAAGGTTGGGTCGGGGGGTGGGTAGAGGATGAGATGGGAAGGGGAAACAAAGGAGGAGGCTACAATGCTTGATAAGAAATATACTCATTATCTTGCTCATGTAATTGTAACCCCTCTGTACAGTATTTTTTTCACAATAAAAAATAAATAAAAACTGAAACATTCTAACTGGGGTGAGGTGGAATCTCAATGTTGTTTTGTTTTTCTTTTA